AGAGGCAGCTGGGGCGGGCAGCACCGACTTTCAAGATTCCTGAACCGCATCCCTGGAGCCTTTCCTTCTAGAAGAGTCTCCTTTTCCTTCGGCAGCCCCTTGCTGGACTTGGAGGGACTAGAAGAAATGTACTGTTGCCACAGTGGTATTTGTGAGGTGACGGAGGCATCTGTGGGGTCTGCCGCCAGAGAATCCAGTGGCAGAGAATTAGAACTATGCAAGAAGGACTCTCACCTCAGCTCCTGTCATCCTCTCACTAGTGGCCAGGATGATGCCTTCCCTTCGCTGCTAATCCTGGAAACTGGTAAAGACAGCTTAGATTTGGATCCATCTTAAAAAGGACCTCCCCCCACCCCCTCACTCCACCACACGCCCCAAGCTCTAGCAAGTGCTTATGGTAAATAGAAAACAAAAACAAATTCAGTTCTGGTTTCTGGGATTTTTCTCTTCCAGTGCTCTCATAACCAAAGGAACTTACTCCCATGAAAGCTGAAGAAAAGCTGCAGTCGGTTTACAAAAATCAAGACTGTATGTGTTTGAGTTTCATAAATGGGTAAGATGATCAGGGTGAGAGCCAACCTTTACCTTAGTTGGGATAAGAACAGAAGAAGAGAGGAAAAGTAAAAGAGAAATGCAAAAATTGGATTTACCTAGCTGAAACCTCTTTCCATCATTAAAAGGGGTTCTACACCCAATTTCCACTGTGCAGGGGTTGGGAGAAGGTTCCTCACACCATCAAGCAATTCTTGGCCACCAGCTGGGTGTCCTACAATTCAACTCAAATCTGGCTCTACCTACCCGGAGGCAGCATCAGATTCCATAGGTTAAAAGCTCAGTCCAGCAAGAGTGACCTCCCTTATCCACCACCCTGCTTCAGTTGCAATCACAAGTCCGGGTTGTCACCTGTCATTCTAAATCCGAGGTTTCCATGATACCCTTCTTGGATTTGATTAATTTGCTAGGGCAGCTCACAGAACCCAGGAAACCCTTTTACTCATTACATTATTGGTTTATTCCAAAGGATAGTAAAGGACACAAATCAACAGTTAGATGAGGAGGCACATAGGGTAAGATCCTGAACAAAGGAGCTCTAGCCTCGTGGCATTTAGGGCCCAGCATGGTGACATGTGGAAGCATTCTGGCTCCCTAACCTGCAAGCTCTCCGAACCCTATCCTTTTGGGCTTTTATGGAGGCTTCATTACTTAGGCGTGATTGATTAAACCATTGGCCATTGGTGATTGTACTCAGTCTTCAGGTCTACTCCCTTCTCTAGAGGTTGGGGGGTGAGGGTATAGGGACTGAAAGTTTCAACCCTCTAATCACAAGGTTGGTTCCTCTGGCATCCAGCCCCCATCCTTAGGTGTTTTCCAAAAGTCATCTCATTCACATAAACTCAGGTGTGGTTGAAAGGGGCTGGTTAAGAATATCAACAACCCTTTCTACTCTCATCACTTAGGAAATTTCAAGGGTTTTAGGATCTCTGTGCCAAAAACAGGATGAAGACCGACTATGTATGTCTTCTTGTACATCACAATATCCCAATCATCCACTGGTAACCTTGGACAAATTATTGATCTTTTCTAAGCCTCCATTAACTCCTTTGTGAAATGATAGTTCCTGTCTCATTGGAGATTAAGTACATTCAAAGAGTTTAGCACAGCATGGTAGTCATGGAAATGCACTGCCCTGGCCTCTCTTCAAGGATTTGCTGCCCAGCTGCAGGGGGCGTGGTCAGCCACCAGCCAGCCAGCTTTTGACTCCTTCAGGGGCTGCCCCAGCTGCAGAGAGCTGCCCCAGCTGAGGTCACTCCCTTTCCAGGGGAATCTGGTAACTGAGGGAGAGGGGTGGCGATGGATAAAGGCCTGGCCATTTCTGCCAGACGTGGGACAGTAATGGGCAAACTCATTCTAGAATTTCCTGCCAGAGTGGCCAAGGCTTTGGGGGGCTTGCCTCGTGGATTGACTTCTTCCTCTCCCCAATCTTCTTCTTCCCTTTTCCCTTCACAGGTGGTGAGCCCTGATACCCCAAACTCTGGGTCCAGGTCTGCTTCTGGAGAATCCAGTCTGCAACACATAGTGTCTGGTAGACAGTAAGTACCCAATAAATGTTAGCTATTGCTTTTTGTTATTGTTGTTGCATTAAAATAGGAGCTAGAGTCTAAGATTGGACATTCTGTTCCTGACGCATCCAACCCCTGCTTTGCAGATGCTTAGTGCTGTACTAATCATCCTTCATCATGCTAACATCATGGACTTACTCTTTGTTATAGACTGAATGTTTGTGTCCTTTCCAAAATTCCTATGTTGGAATCCTAATATACTGGTACCAATATACTGGTACCACAAGGTGGGGCCTTTGGCAGGTAATCAGGTCATAAGGGTAGAGCCCTCATGAATGGGATTAGTGCCCTTATAAAAATGAGACACCAGACAGCTCCCCTGCCCTCTTTCCACCAAGTGAGGATATAAGAAAGAAGGTGGCTATCTGCAGCCAAAAGAGGGCCCTCAACAGAACCAGACCGTTTCAGGCACTCTGATCTTGGTCTTCCAGCTTCCAGAACTGCAAGATAATTTTTGTCGTTTCTAAACCATCTGGTCTGTGGTATGCTGTTATGGCAGTCTGAACTAAGATCCTCTTCTTTAAGTACCTGCAGGGCAGGGAACCCATCTAAAACTTCCTTCTTTCCTCCACTGATTTGTTAGCTCACACCTACTAGGCACACCATGTGAATCTGTTGATTAATTTTTAACTTTCCTGGGTTAAGGACTTCAGCATGATTTTTTTTTAAAGATTTTTATTTATTTATTAGAGAGAGACACAGGGAGAGAGGGAACACAAGCAGGGGGAGTGGGAGAGGGAGAGGGAGAGGGAGAAACAGGCTTCCCACCGGGCAAGGAGCCTGATGGGGAGCTCGATCCCAGAACACTGGGATCATGACCTGAGCCAAAGGCAGACACCCAGGTGCCCCGCATGATATTTTTGAATAGCTAGATTTTACTCTTCCCACATGTATAAGGAAGTTTCTAGGCTACCTCATAATGTGATAACCCAGGAAGCCAGCCTACATTCATTATACCGTTCATAGGGATAGAAATCCACTAGCTGAGATTCCATCCACACTGCAGTTCACCGGGTGCTTTTGGGGGTACCAAGTCATCTAATCACACCATTGGTTATCTTGCAAGGATTCTGAGTCTGGCTCCTTTAGAAAGTGCTGTGCAGCCCATGGCTGGGATTTGTTTTTGGTACAGATGATGTTTTTTGCTACAGAATACAAGTCAAAAGAGTTACCTTCATGGTTAATATCAGCAAAGGAACAATGCCAAGACTGTCCTTGAGTTCCCTAAAAATTGGACACTGGCCAGCTGGTATCTCTTGAGAGGGGATTTTCGATCCCTAGACGTCTCTGTCATCGTAGCACTGAGAATTGAAGGAAGCTCGTCTGCCAGCCCAAAGCGCTAACACACACCACCCACCGGCCGCAGGAAGGGCTTTTGGAGTTACATTGTTTTTGAAAGTCCGTTTTAAGAGTAGCCTGTTCTATAAAATTAAAAAAGAAAAAAAGAGTAGTCTGTTCTAATGGAGAGAATACTGAGTTGGAAGCCTAAATTCCCCGGCCAGCTCTGTGACCCTGGGCAGGTCACCGACGCTTCAGTGTCCTCATCTGTAAAACGGAGGCTTTGCCTCCACTTGCCGGGGCTCCGGCTCTCCTCCTGTCCGAGGGGTCTGTGACGATGTGTTGTTTCTGTGCAGGAGGATGGGAACCACACTTTCCCCAAAGAGGCACTGCAGCTTGAATAAAAATGAGATGGTGGCGGTAAGAATGAGAGATTGGCGGGGAAAACAAAATCCCTCAAAAGCGAAGAAGGTTGTCAAACTCACGCACAAACCTCAAAGCCAAGCTTTGGTTGGATTCCTTGTGAGTCAGTAGCTTTCCCAGTTGCCTCAGCTTTCTTACAGCTTTGTTGTTCTTTCTCTTTTCAGATTGTCTTGATGACATTTCCAGCACATGAACCAGAATATCGTCACCTCTTCGGGGGGCAGGGGACGGGGCTGGCTGCTCAGCCTTGGACTCTCAGCCCTTCAGGCAGTGATAAGTCATCCCTCTGACAATAGGTGTCTGATTGGAGAGCCTACCCAGCTCCCGGGTGCTTGCCCCCCTTCCTTCCACCTCCCCAAATGGGTAGTGTGTCCCCTCTTCCCACACCTGCTCTCTGCACACTGACACACTGTTCCCTGGCAGGCAGTGATTGCGGACTCTCCAGCCACGTTTCCAGGCTCGTCACAAGGCAGCCAGGTGTTCAGGAGTAAGGAGAGGCAGACCACATGCAGGGAGACTAAGACAGTCAGAATCTCAGGAGTCCTCGTCTGTCTGCTTCACTTTGCAGATGAGAAATGAGAGGCTTGCGGGCCCAGAGCCATACAACTCATTAGTGGCTGAGGCAAGAACGGGAGCTAGGTTTCCTGCGCTCAGGACCAGTCACTCTCTGATTCGTATTTTCTTTCCCTACTTGTTCCTAGCAGAATGATGGATAGACATTTTAACACTTAGACTGCTTTACAAGACTTTGAACACCCAAGAAAATACTCAAGGGAAATGAAAGCTTGGGATGTCATCTCTTCAGTGAAGCCCTCCACCTTCAGGTATTTATCCTGGGAACTTCCTTAGCTCTTTATCTGTACCCTGAAGGGTACTCCACTTTTAACAGGGCAGTATGCGAGCCTGATTCATCTGGGCCCGATATAGCTCCACACATTAAGAAAATTCACCAGTTCCCTTAATAAACCAAGCCCATTCCTTCAAGAGGAGAGAATCTTGACACAGGACTCAGGCCCCCACGGGGATCACGTGCAGAAATGCACCCAGCACTAGCCAACGGCTCCTTGTTCTCTCTGAGCCTACCCAGACTCAACATTCTCCCGTTTCTTCCAGCACAGCAAGGGACCAGGCTAAAACATTTCAACGAGGACTCCTCAGCAGCTCCGACCAGTGAGAAATAAAAAGTAACATGAGACCAGGAAAGAAGAGATGCACAAAGTTCAGGTCATTCGGTTTGACCCCTATGACATGCCTTCCTCAGAGCACTTGGCCTGTTTCACGGGGTTCAGTGTCCAAGCTGTTTCTGCTCTGGGCTCGTTGACTCCCCTAGAGCTGCGAACCCAGTGCTACGGCAGACCTTCCAGCCTGTTCCGAGCTCTGCACCCAGCCTCCCCGCCCGCCATTGCAAACACCGGGCACGTAGCAGGCGCTGAGTGAACACCGAGCCAGCACTGAGCCGGACTAAACTATGGTACGGTCACATAGGCAGAGGGATTGAGAGAGAACAGGCCATGGGAAATAATCAACAAGATGACGGCACCCTCCTCGAACCCAGGCCCTTCAAAGAACGCCTCCTCGCCCGGAACAGGAAGGGCGTCGGTGTGAGAGCGAGCGGTCGGCAGCGCCCAGCTCGGCACTCACACTCTGCAACTCCTTCGTCCTCCCGTGGCCATCAGCCAAAGACCTGGAGCATGTCTGTGCCGCCGGCGCGAGTGGGTTGGCATGAGGGCGCAAGAAACTCTGTATAACCTAAGAAGAGACAAGGACAGGCACTCGGATTTTTTCTTTTAATTATTTACCAGATAAAAAAGAAAAAATAGTGATTGTTTCTCTTCACCCCCAACATTTCAGTTTACCGAGGTCAAGTAGGAGAGAAATTGAACAGTAATTCGTGCTCCTGGCCTGGAGCAAATTCTTTCCCTCGGCTCTGCAGCACCTCGAGGAGGAACAGGGCAAAGGGCTCCAGGCAGAAAGACTTGTACCGTGGCAGCAGAGTGGCAGTGGGCTGTCCTCCTTTCTCCTCCCTGTTGCCAGAACATTCAGACCCTCCTGTGTGCCCTCTGCCCGCCCCCCCGCGTACCATCCTCCCCAGGCGACGGACAGGGCGTCAGGAGGCAGGCCAGGTGTGGTGCAGGACAGGGGAAGCACACGGCAGACATGGCGGAAGGCCACAATCTTCTGCTTCTATTGCACATCCTGGCTCAGATCCCCTGCCCTGAGCAATGGGCTACAAAGTGAAATGCTTCTGAAGTTCAAACCAAGAACCTGTTGTTGTGTGCCAGGCTCAAGAAGGGGAGGTGTGTGGTTGTGTGGCTTGTTCTGATACACATATTTAAGTTATATGTTAAGTTATTCCATGATGGGGGCAAGGCAAATATTGTGCCTTGTTAACGAAAATCTGGAGTTTGGACTCCCGGGGCCCTACAGTCACCTGGGCTTCTCCCCCTCAAGTTCAGAAGACTCAGAATCACTCTCCAGTCCGCAGATCTTCTGCGTAAGATGGAAGAGGCAGCAGCGTCCACCAACTACACAAGCCCCCTGACCAGCTGTTGTGACTCTGACACTCAGGGGTGACCTCTTTTTCTGAACACCTGGAGAATCTGGCCAGTGACCCCACAGAACAACCTTTCACACTGTACGTTCCTCCATAACATGGCAGCTGTTTGATTCTCCTTCCTCGAGTTACCAACGAAAACAGAGTAGGACTGGAACAAGTTGTTTACTTGACCTTACAGACAGAATAAAGTCCTCGGGAAAAAGCAGTGGGGTGGGGAGAAGGGAATGGTTTTGATTTGGCAAAGCTGCAACTCTTTCACCTTCATTGGCTGGAACAAAGCTGGCGGGTGAAAACAAACCTAACTGAGCCAATGGCAAGAACTGCAGGCTATGAGAGACGACAGGTCAAACACGGAACCGTATAAATTGTGGCACTATAAAGATGAGAAGGCAGGTCCATGACACCAGCTGGGAGCACGCCTTGCGAGCACGCTTCCAGAAATGACATCTGTCCTGTGGTGAGTGGTAGCATCCAAGATAAATCAGAGTAGCTCTCCTTCCTCCTCTTCCCAACAAATTCTGAGAGTTTCTCATTTAAATAACTATGTACACACACACACAAGCCTGGTCTCTCTTTTACACGAGGGTCATTCACTTGAGGGTCCTAGAATGGCTTTAGAGAGTCGGTTCCAATTGCCTTTTTGGAGATTTACTGCTTGGGACCAAACCTGTAAGGAGAAGAAATGACTGAATTCCACAGCAGGCAGACCTTTAGGATGAAAAGCATCCCAGTGTTTAAGGGGTCGAGTCTTCACATAAATAATGAGCCCGCAACTCCCTCACGGGGTTGGTACCCTGGCAAATTGAGTACTGGGGCTGGAACTCACCAACCCTATGCGGGCTACTGTCAACCAGAGGGCCCCATGCCCACCGGCAACCCTGGGAGTATAGCTCCATACCTCCCTCTGATAAGGACAGTTTCTCAAGTTCAGCTTCAAGTTCAGCGTCCGAGATCCTAGGGTTAGGCACACTGTTGGTATAAAATGTCTCAGGGGGGTTTTCAGGCAGATCCAAAGGTTCTTTGGTGGTATCCCGAAGAAGGATGTCCAGTTCCTTCTCCAGTTCCTCACTGTCAAAATCTGGAAAGAAAAGATGGCATGAGGACATATAAAGTCCAGGGAGCAAATGCATTCATGAGTCAAGGATGGAGGACGGCATAACTCAGCTCAGCTTTATAAAAGATGTCCAGGCCTCCTTGTAGGTCAGAGAAATCATGAGTCGGGAGGCAGAGGGCATCTCCAAGTAAATACTCTTTTCCCACACAGAGCTAAGTCATCATGGGGATATATTCTGCTAACACCACAGAACTGACCCTGCTTCCCCTTGCCCTTAAAGGAGGATCTTCCAGTCGGAAGTCTAGTGAGTCAAGGTCGCTACAGCCCAGAGAGGTTAATGGTACAGTCTACCAAGGGGGGTGAGCCCCAGAGAGGAGAGCCCTGCCTGCACCAGGAGAAATAGATCTATGATCCAACCCATCACAGCACAAGGAAGGGAAGGCCTCTTAGGAAGGAAGGATGAAAAGAACTGTCTTGTCAACTCACCTAAGCCATTGGTCACCCCGCTAGCCAGAGTCTGAGAAACTTCATCCTGGGTGTCACACAGCTGTAAGAGAAAAGCACAAGGCCCTGAACGCGGAGTGGCACCTCTGGGAGTCTTGGCCTTTCGGGCTCAATGTTCAGGGTTACCAAGTCATGCTGCCCTGTCTGAGAATCAAGACAATCTTCCTCAAGTGCCCAAGGGAAACAGTCCAGTTTGGGGAAAGAGGAAGCGCTGCAAAGTCACACCTGCCCTTAGTAACTTCCTTCTGTAGCTCTTCCTCCCTGGCCCCTTCCTGTACCTCTTGGATCTGATCCACAAGGCTCTCTGCCTTCTCCACTGTGACATCCTTCATGGAGAGTTTTAGTGCTCCTACCCCGGCCTGATAAGCATTGAAAACCTAAAAAGAAAGCAGAGTTATCAGTGCAAATGAAGAACACTGGGCAAAATACATACCAATATCGTGTCATCTCCGAACGATAACTCTGGGGTTTTTTTAACCACCCGCACTTGATTCATCCCATGTTCACCGAGGCCAAAACTTCCCAACAGGAGAAGCAAACTCCCAACCCAATCCTGAAAAAAACCCAAGCCTCCTCCAAACAGCAGAGCCACAGTGCAGGGACTGAGGAGTGTATGCCGGTGAGACGGCCCAGATACTGGAGCAGAGGGGCGGTGGCTACCATCTGGTCTGTCTGCGAGGCATAGATCCGGTCCAGGATGCCTTGAACAGTGTCCAGCTTGGCATGCAGGGCCTCGATGCGCTTCTCTGTCCGTTGCTTGGCCTTGAGAGACCTCAGTGCCTAGGGGCGCACGGAGACTTGGTCAGGTGGGCCAGAGGGCCAGAGGAAGCAAGGCTTTCTCAGTGGTAAGACCACCCCAGGCCTCCTCCTCTTCTCTCATTTGTAAAGCAAGTTGTGGTACCGGACCACCTGCAGATGTTTCCCCTCGTGCCCCAAGCTCTCCTCTGAACCGCTGGGGCACCACCACCCACTGCCAGCCCAAGGCACAGGTACACAACTGGAGGGGAAGAGGGAAAACTCACCAGCTGCTTCTTTCCGGCTCGGCATGCCCGGCGGGCTTCTTCTTTACACCTACCAAACACAGGGGACAGATCAAGATGACTGTGGCGCAGGACGGCAGTGTCCTGAATAGTCCCCGAGAGTCCCACTTAATTAAGGTACTTTCAGATCTGAAAATCAAATCAATTCTACCCAATGGCCAGAAAAACGATGCCCAAGAGCCCACTGGCAAACCCCCACAGCAAGCTGAGATATAAACTTGAACATATGCACGCGACAAAGGCAAACCGGCCAAGGATAAGCTGTTTCAGCCTCCAGGGAAGGAGAACATGCCAACAAGGCACCTTAACAACACAGTCCCATTTCAGGAGCCACGAGAGAAGGAATCAATTCTTAACACCAACAGTGGCCTTGGACGTATTCCCTGGCTTTCCCACAATGTTGGGTCTCTCTCACTGTAAGGAGTGGGCATTTTAACGCAATGTCCATATACCCTATGTTTCGGAGAAGTGTTCATGTACCTTTAGCAGGGATGTCCTCACCATCTAAGGGGAAGAGCAGGAATCCCTCAGAAAGAGCCTGGAAGGCAGAACTTGCCTCGTTCACTACAGTATTCCTAACTCCCTAAGACAAGGCCTGGCTCGACAAACACTGGTTAAAAGGATACTGGCACGGAGGATAAACATAACGTTAACAGATGTAATCTTGGGGGGAAGAATTAAAATTCATTTTTTTTCCTTTGTGATAGTCTTGTTTTTGCAAGATTGCTGCACTGAGCAGTTAGTACTCTGTAATTAGGAAGATTAAAAAAAAAAAAAAAAAACTTTTTTTTTTTTTGAAGGGAGCCCACAGGCACCAATGCTTTGCTGCTGTGAGGGCCAGCCAGGGTGGGGGTTAGAGGGTGCTCAGCTCAGGGGTAGTTACCTCTCTGCTTCCTGGGACAAGGACTCCACTTTGCGCGAGAGCAGCTGTTCACTCTGCATCAGCTGGTATACCCCAACATCTACGTCGTTGACAGGAGAGACCTTGGCATGTGGCCCTCGGGCAAACTTCACAATCTGAGGGACAGGGACAAATTACTGGGGCCCCTACCACAAATGCTGAGAAATCCCCAGGCAGGAATGCCCGCAGGCATGTCAGTATGCACTTAATAAGCCATCGGGGAGCCAGTGAATGAACAGCTGGACTTCCGTACCTTTTCCCCATTCTGCTCGAGAACTGTGACTCTCTTCTCTTTCTGCAGCTGCAGCAACACCAAGTAGAAGGTCCTCTCGTCTGGACAGGAGCCCGCACAGAGGGTGCTCAGCTCTGACAGGGCCACCACAGGATGGGAGGAGAGAGGGGAGTTCTGATACAGACGATACACCTCCTCAGCCTTCTCCTGCAGGGGAGGCAAATGTGCTTACACGCCTGGCCACTGCCCACGGAGCCCCGTGCGCCCTGACCCTGTGTTTCCAAACCAGGATCATGCAAGACAAGGGCAGGGAGCACTGGCCCTGCCGCCCCTAACGTAGCAGCTTTGGAAAAGGAAAAAGAAACTTGAACTTTTTCTAGAACTTTCTAAGTTTCTTCTCTAAACCTCAGAGGGAAGTCTGGTGTATACAGATGAAAGGAGGTAGATGATATGTGTATCGGGAGCCAGCTCCGTGCTTGCATGTCCATGTGGGACTTTATGTTTCTGGGTCTCCCAGCCCAGGGGAAGGAGGAGGAGCCCAAGGTGGGGTGGTGGCACAGCCATGACCGAGAGTTGAGGCCTGGTTTTCAGCTCTGCCTATGTGGCCCCGGACCAGTCAGTCTCACCGGTCCTCAGCATCCCTCTCACAAACTGAAGAAGGTGGAGGAGATGACATCCAAATTCCCTTCCAATGCTGGTCTCTCCATTTTTATGCCAACTGGCGATAATGCAAACAAGAACATTACTGAGACTACAAAGAGTCTCAAGAGAGAAGTATGTGACAATGAAGTGGGATAGGGCTTTTGTGAGGAGCCTAATATAAGTTTCAAGAAACAATGCCACTGTGTTCTTCCTACATGGAAATTACTCTCTCAGTCTTCCGCAAATAAGAAATACTTACTGAGGTATGCACAGAGTGCTGTGAAAATCTGCGGAAGGAATAGCCAGGAGTTCAGAGATTGCTTGTGGGGGGGACAATTGGTTGTTGAGCAGAATTCCGAAGGGTTGAGTAAGTTCCTAGATAAAGTAAGTGGGAAGAGTATCTCAAGAAGGGGGATGGTCATGAGCAATGGCATAGAGTATGAGTCAATATGGTGTTTACGGATGTGGACAGGAAGGGGAGAGAGAGAGCAGGAGCACTTCTCTCTTATACAAGCTGTAGTATCTTCTTTGCTATCCTTTCCCTGCAGATGGTGGGTAGTCGTGGAAGGGAAAGGGCAAGGCTGGATTAACAGAGATCTAGCTAACAAGCGGGAAAGGATGGATTGTAGGAGCTAGGCTTAGAGGCAGGGAGACCATTTATGCAAGAGACTAGTAGGGACTGAACGGGGCAGTGGTGATAGGGACAGAGAAGGGATGGGTTCAAGAAAAATCCAGAAGATAAAACAGGCAGTCCCTAGTAACTGGGCATGGGGTGGAAGGAGAAAGAGGAGTCCAGGATGACTCTTGGGGTCTGGCTTGAGTGACCAGGTGGATGTGATGCTATTAATTAACAGCAAGAACACAGAAAGAAAAGCATATTCTATAGGAAAGACAAAACATTCCATTTTGGGCATGTTGTTTGGGATGCCTCAGGTACATCCAAAAAGATACGTACAGCAGATAACTGGATATAAAATCTGAAGCTCAAAGGAGACACCAGGACAGGATATATAACTCTGAAAGTCCTCAAGCATATAGAAGGTAACTCAAATCCCAAGTGTAAACGAGTTACCCAAGGAAACTCAGAGAACAAAGTAATAAGCTGAAGGAAGACCAATGTTTAAGAGATGAAGGAACTCACAAAAGAGACCCAGAGCACCACTTAGGGAGAGCCAAGGAGAACCCACGGTGTAATGACCCTAAAATCAAAGAAATGGAAAATTTTAAGAGGTGAGTGGTCAACAGTGTCAAAGGCAACAGAAGAGTCTAATACAATAGAGATTAAAGTTTTCATTTGATTTATTTGCCTTGTCAGATAATATTACTTACTATGAAACTACTGTAGTAAGAACAGTGTGGTGTCCACACCAACAGATGAATGGTAAACAACATTAATAAACAATGTTGGGTCGCCCGGGTGGCTCAGTTGGTTGAGTGTCTGACTTTTGATTTCTGCTCAGGTCATGATCTCAGGGTCCTGAGATTGAGTACCGCGTCAGGCTCTGCGCTCAGCATGAGTTTCTTTCCCTCTGTCCCTCCCACCATTCGTGTGGGCTCTCTCTCTCAAAGAGAAAAATAAAAAAAAAAAAGATGCTAAGACAATTGGCTATCTGTTTGGAAAAAAATCGTTTTTCCTTACCAGATATACAAAAACAAATGCCAAATTACTGAAATTTAAATTGAGACAATATTTTTTTAGAAAAGATTATTTATTTATTAATTTCTGAGAGAGAGAAAGAGAGAGAGAGCACAAGCAGGGGGGTGGGGGGAGGGCAGAGGCAGAGGGAGAAGCAGACTCCCTGCTGAGCAGCAGTCCGATGTGGGGCTCGATCCCAGGACCCTGAGATCATGACCTGAGCCAAAGACAGATGCTTAACCGACTGAGCCACCCAAGTGCCCTGAGAAAATATTTTTTAACATTTTTTTTTTAAAGATTTTATTTATTTGAGAGAAAGATGGAGTGGGGGGAGGGGCAGAAAGAAAGACAGAATCTTAAACAGACTCCCCACAGAGCGTAGAGCCCAACACAGGGCTTAATCTCATGACTGTGAGATCACAACCTGAGTTGAAATCAAGAGTCGGATGCTTAACCAACTGAACCACCCAGGCGCCCATGAGAAAATATTTTAAAAATCTAATTATCCTTGAAGTGGAGGATGCCTTTGTAAGCAAGACCAGAAATTCAGTAGCCATAAAAGAAAATTTTTAGAGATCTGACTATAGAAACATGGAAACTTCTCTATGGTAAAAGACATCATAAATACAAATGAAAAGCAAAAAAGAGACCAGAAAACAATATTTACATCCCTAACACTAAATGTATATATATATATATCTACCCCTAATACATTAAAAAAAACTCCTAATTATAAAGGACAAACACTCCAATATAAAAACAAGCAAAAGATATAAACAGGCAATGCACAGAAGGGGATTTGTAAATGGACAGCAGACAGGGAAAAGGCTGCTCAAATCCCAAATAGGAAGCATCATTTTTGTTCATCATATTGGCAAAATTTCAAAGACTCATGTTATCCAGTGCTGGCAAGGATGTGGGGAGACTGAACACTTTAATGAACGTGTGAATTAGTACAAACTTCTGAAAAGTAATTTGGCAATTTCTGTACATATGCATTTCTAGAAATCAACTCCATAAAAATAAAAATAGAAGTACATAGATGCATACACAAGGCTGTCAAAGAAGTATTTTTTTTTTTTTTGTAATAGAGAAATTGGAATGACTTAAACATCCAACTCTGTGGTAACTATTGCTTAAATTGTGGTGTATCTACAGACTATTATGCAGCCATCCGAAAGAATGAAGTAGATCTATATTATGTAGGGGCCTGGAAAAATGCTCATAACATATTGAAGTGTAAAGAAAAAAAGGCAGATTGCAGACCAATAAGTAAAGTAAGATTCTATTTCTGGAAAAAATGGAGTGTGTGTGCATGCATGTTTTTGTATGTATGTGTACATTCATGTATTTATTCAACAAATGTTTATTGACTCTCTATTATGTAGCAGGCGCTGTTCCCAGAGTCCCAGAGCCAATGGAACTTCTCCCTTCTGGTAGGAGAGACAGATTATAAATCAGTAAACAAGCAAATAATATTTTCAGGAAGCAGTAAATGCTAACAACAAAATAAAACAGAAAGCAACATACAACGATGTGGGACAAGGTCCATAAGAAAATACATGAAGACCCGAGCACGCATGTGTGCGCACACACGAACAGAAAGGAACGCACCCAAAGAGATGGAAATGGGATGAACAGAAAGGAAACGTTCGTTTCTTTGTATAGTTATTTTAAATAGCAAAACTTAGGGGCAATTTTTACTTTTTTTGTATTTTTTCAAATAAAATAAAGTTACTGGCTTTCTGTGTCTAGACTTGGGAAAATCAATTTACCTCAGAAGTAGGCTTTATTTTATAAAAATATCCTGATAAGACTCTTCAGTCTCACACAGGGAAACAAGGTTCCATCCCAGGAGAAAACAGTGAAGTCACCATATATTTGAAAGCAGATGTAACGGAATGAGCTTGAGTGTTAAGCGCTCTGTTTTGTGATGTAAACTGGGTCTAGATTGAACAGTACCATGCTGCTGCAGAGATTTATTTTTCTTCTTAAATAAGATTAAACTACCCTGCAGTTAAAAATTATTGTTGGTTCTTGGAAGACCTATGTTATTATTATTATTTGTTAAGATTTTATTTATTTATTTGACAGAGAGAGAGAGAGCGCAAGTAGGCAGAGAGGCAGGCAGAGGGAGAGGGAGAAGCAGGCTCTCTGCCGAGCAGGGAGCCCGATGCGGGGCTCGATCCCTGGACCCTGGGATCATGACCTCAGCCGAAGGCAGCCGCTTAACCGACTGAGCCACCCAGGTGCCCCAAGATCTATGTTATTAATTCCACTTTCACCCCCATCTCTGCCTTTGCTCTCAAAAGACTATGAATCCAAAACCACATCTGTGGGGATAAATGAGTCTACCTCCCTTTGTTTCAGGTTGGAAAACACTTGAAGTAAAAGACTGCAAAGACAAATGGAGCTTGGCCCAGAACCACACAAACCATCCTGTAGTTTCTGCATGGCCTTGGCTACGTCCTGGAGGTCAGGGCACTGGGTGGGAGGATAATCATGTGGGTGGGGGAGGGGAAAGAGCCCTTCCCTTGAAGCAGACACATGCTGCTCAAATCGTGAGGGACAGGGAGAGATGATAGATTTTGGAGACCTCCACCTCAATCTGAGGTAGAGAGGGTTGGGGGGTCTGTCAAGGTGAAGAGAAACTGGAGCTTCTGTTGGGATAAGGGATGAAGATGCTGAGCTGGCTCCAGCTGTGTGGAAGCCTCTGGGGCTACGCAAAGGTCCTGAGGTTGGGCTTAGTCTGTGAGTTTCAAAAATAAGTACCATCTATGGTATACTCCTGCTACCTGGTGTTCAGTCAGTTTTGTAAACAGGTACACACAGAGCAGTTTTGGTGGAGTGGTGGGGTTGAAACAGCCGTGCACTGGGTTAAAGGGCACTGGAAGGTCAGCCAGTGGTAACAACAAAGCTTGGTCCAGAAGGAGAGAAACAGAGCACTAACGAGACAGTGGCCAGGTCCCACAAAGGAGTCATTCTGTGATGGGAAAAACTTGAGAGGGTTTAGAGGCTGAGGAAGGAAAGCACCAAGCGAGGGAGATGGAATATATAGATCAGGAGGGACTGATGGGACAAGGGGACAGCAGGGTAGAGACAGACTCAAGAGCCCATGTGGAAAAGAAGACAGACACCTCATCCTCTGACCCTGGGGAGAAATAAAGGCTCAGAAAGAAGATGTTAAACTGGATGTAGAAGGACAGACAACTAAAGGCTTGACTTAGATGATTCTACCTTCTCAATGAAATGTCAGCAGTCATGGAGGTGGTGTATGGAAGGCACGTGTGAGGGAGCTGGGAAAGGACAGGAAACTGGGCTGAGGAATGGCTGTGAGGGCCCTCCTAGAGCTGGGCACCATGAAAGGGACCCCAGTCTTGGTGACAGGGTGATTTTCTCTAGCAGGGATGGCAGACTATGGGACTGGTCTATGGCAGTGGATGTGCTGGTGTCTCGGGTGGCCCGAGGGAGCTGCGAAGAAGCTGGGTGCATGCTCTAGGCTGGCTAGGGAAGGCAGGCCAAGAGGAAGCTGACCAACCAGGACAGCATGAAGGGACCAAGGGCCTGGTGGCCTCTTCAGTGGAACTAAGACCATCAGTGAGCTGGAAGGGGAGAGGGTTACAGTCACAGAGGAGGAAATCTGAACCTGGTCTGCTGACTTAAGAGAAGGCAAAGCTGAAGTCACAAGGTCCTCAGAAATCCTGAGAAATTCTTACCAGTAAACTACAGAAGGCAAAGAATTTTCTAAACTTTAGCTTATCACTAATATCTACAACTACAAAAAGTAATCAACTGTATGTTATAGACAATTCCAAGACAGAGGATCACCTTTGAAATGTACAATCCAACTAACAACTAAATAATGCTACAAAAGGTCAGATAAACTCAGTTATCAACTCTGTCACCATGCAGAAAAGACGTTCTTTGTCTAAGGATACACCCAGGAACGTGGAGGACCCCGTCATCACCGCAGATGAGAGCCAGACCTTGCCCTTCCGACCACCCACCTTAAGCAGCTCCACAGCTACGAGCACCTCCTCGGCAGGAACTTTATTATCCCCTAGCATGTTGGAAAGAGTCCACTTGAGGGGCTTCAGCAGGAAGACTCCAACCCCCCAGGAGATCCAGCTGCTGTCTACACTGGCCATGAAGTCTGACTCCCGCTGCAGCTCCCCTCGACTGCAGGCAAAGAAAGAGAAAGGCATATAGTAGGCTTAATGCAGTGTCCCATTCCAGTCCCCACCTTCCCCCAAGACACAAATTTCATCATCATCATCATTAACACCATTTCTTAGGGACCTACTCTGTGCCAGCTCCTACGAGCAGCACTGTTTATGCTCCAGCTGAAAGCCCCACGACAACTCTGTGAGATGGACGTTGTTGGTGGTGAATGAGAAAATTGAAGGACTGAGGTGAGCGAGGCCAAATCTAAACTATAACTTGGCTCCAAAATGCAAGCTCTCCACTAAGGCTGCAAAGCCTACCTTGAGACTTCCTTTTACAAATGAAGCTCAATATGATAAAATGAAAATAACAATAATGGGTCACTGTTAATGCAAGACCTAAGGAAATACACAAAGATGGTCAGAGAAAAGGTTTTCTGCTATTCCTAAGCTAGGGTGGAGATAGGACATAAACACTTTTATGGTACTGGTAAGAAGCAGCTACGCTTACTGAATGCCCACCATGGACCAATCACTGTGCTAAGGGCTATGTAAGGAATATGTTTCAAACCCTCATGATAAACCTAAGGACAATTATCATCATCATTTTATAGTTGGTCAAACTGAAGCTTAAAGAGGGGCATGTAATTTAGCAAGTGGCAGTGCCAGGATTTGAACCCAGACCATTTGGCCTTCAACTTGGCGCAGTACACTTTCTCAGAAACAGTAACTTTCAGAAATGGCTTGTCCCATCAGTGTCAACCAATGGAAAGGTACTGGGGAGAAGGGAGCCCTCTTAATCAGGAAGAGCAGCAAACTCAAAGCAACACATCAAAGTTGACTTTTTGCATTCACTGAAGGACGTACTATGCTAGCTAGGCTCCTCTCAGCATATGTACAATGTGATCTGCAAATGCTTTAGAATCAGGAGACTAGGGGGTCCAGTCCTGGCATTACCTCTTACTAGCTGTGTTACCTCGAGTAAGTTGCTTGATCTCAGTCTCAGTCCCCTCTTGTGTCTGCTGAGGATAATTCTATCAACTCTCCCTCAGGACTGCTGAGGAGGTCAGATGAATGGTGTATGCAAAGTACCTGCATACTATTAAGTGCGGTACATCTATTCAATAGATATCCATGCTACCGCCTCAGGTATCTCCAAAACCCTGCAGCTGTCACACAAGTAACACCTACAGAACCTTCTCAGAGCACCAAGGTACCCAGTAAAGCCCTCAACCTGCTTCATGTCCTCTGCTTCAACCAGCCTGTGGCAAGGACAAGCCAAGACAGGCCAGACATAGGACCTGCGCTGGGGGCTGCTGGCAAGATCCTCACAGGCCTCTCCCCCACGACTGCCCTCTTCTTAGTCCTGAGCTTCCTTAGTTCGATAAATCCCATCTCGCAGACCTTCTGTGCCAGGGTAATTCAAATCTGGAAGCCCCCACGAAATAACTACACAACGGGATTCCAAGCCAGACAAGTCATTGTCACCTCTGCCAGGCGGGTTTCTCCTCCCACCGTCTGAATCTAATCTAATCGGACAATCCTGGCCCCCCAATTTGCCCGATGCCCCGTCTCCCTCTCCCTCCACACCCCTAACCCAGCCTCCTTCTTGTCCTCTTGTGCGTACTGAACAAACACAGATCCGCTCCTGCGGTCCAGACCCTAGGCTGGGCGCGGTACCCTCAGGGAGCCACCCCCGCCCCCTGGCCCGGGCCCGCCCTCACCGTAGTAGGTCCTGCAGCACGGTGGCCAGCCCCAGGGGGACACTGCCCTTGCGCTGAAAGGCCTCCTGCAAGTCCCGCAGACGCAGGCGCACCACCCCCTGGCGGCGGCTGTGGCTCAGCACCAACGGAGCCCAGAAGCCCATCTTGCTGTCCCAGTCGGTGCTGTTCACCTCGCGACTCCTTTTGAAGGCGGAGAACAGGAAAGACATGCGTTCCTCATCCTCCTCCCACTCGGGGGGCAGTAGGCCCGCCGGGTCTCCCCCGGCCGGGGCCTCGGCCTCCCGCTCCGGGGACCACATCGGAACCCCTGCCCCGCCAAGGCTCCGAACACAAGCCCGGCCCTGGTTCCCTTCCGCTCTAGTTCCCTCCCGGCTTCCGTTCCTTGACCACCTCCTCCTCTGTCATTACGTCATCGCCACCCCCAGCGTGAAATAAGTCCCGCGCCTTCTAAGCGCATGCCTCTCTCCGCCCTCCCTGCGCCAGGAGGCGGGATGATTACCCTATTTTCTGAGAGACTCAAAGCGCTTGCGCCGACACCTCCTCCCGCAGTCTTTGTGCGGCAAGAGGGGCTTCGCGCGTGCGCGGTGGGTAGGTGAACGTCCCGCCCCCTCAAGGATCATAGAGTTTGGCGGCGCATTATAGAGAGGCTAATGCTTATGCACCTCAATTGTGGAGGTTTCGGAGTGTGGGACTGTAGAGTCCCGCTAAGGGGCGCCAGAGGCGCCAGGATCGCTGGTGAATTACTGCGCGGCTCCTCCGACAGCCTCTACTTCAGACCCTTAAACTTCCGAGATAGCTTCCTTTTACGGTAATGTCAGCGGATAAACGACCGTCGGCCACTCAAGCTCTGTGACAGTGAACACACTACTTTTGAAAGATATATAAGCTTCTACTGTTCTTGCTTCTCACCTTCATCCCTGGAGTGCCGCTCGTTTCCTTCTCAGTGTCAGTATCCTGCTGATCCTCAAGATGGAGCTCAATTCTAATCTTCGTTGAAACCTTCCCCGACTGTCCTGACTCACCGTTGATCTCTTTCCTGCACTGCACAGTTAGCATTTACTATTCTGTATGCTGTTCCCTAGTTCCCTCAGGGCAGGTGCAATGGCTTAAATATGATGCTATGATACATGGTGGTGCTGAAGAAAGAGTTCATAACCTGAAAGGTGTACAGCTTGACCTTTGCCCTTCTAATAACGTAGAATCTTGTTAGAATGAATGAGAACTCACATATATAAGATTCTTACAAAAAATCTTTTTGGCAATGAACATGTCCAGTGTGTTAAGAATAAATTGGTTTTCTTTTAGCTGAACGATTTAAAACATGAAAGGAGTTTCTTGTTTAATGGAACTGGGTAACGATCACCAGAGTTGAGTATGAATCTGGCCTCTGCCACTCACTGGCTGTATGACCTCGGCCAAGTAGCTAAACTTTGTATTTGAAGGAAATGTTATGATGTATGTAAAATACCTAGCACATAGTCAAGGGCCAAGAAAGAATTCTTGAGAGGTCATTGGTGCAAAAACGTGGTTTAATTAAAGCACAGGGACAGGATCCATTGGCAGAAAGAGCTGCGCTGGGGTCATAAAGAGTGGCCAATTATATACTCGCAAATTGGGAAGGGGCTTAGGGACAGAACAAACCTCCAAGGTATTTTGGAAACAAGGTTTCTAGGGCCCTGAGGGGGCTAGCTATTGTTAGGAAAGGTCTTTATTGTTGTTTAGTAAACACTCAGTCAAGAGACCCTTCAGCTGTATATCAGTGGGCCATATGTTTGGAGGGGGGAGGGGTTAGAGATAAAGGGAGCTTCCAAAGGAATTTTTGTATGTTAAAGAACACCTACAGGGTCCTAGGGGGCCAGCTAAGATTGAATTTTGCTCTTAGCAGAGTGTCAACATTGAGGCAGTTGAGTCCTTAGAGGAATGTCACTCTGGCCTGTTTCAATTACCAATAATCGCGCCTCGGATAAACCTCATTGGCTAGATACTGCCACTGCGCAAGGACTTGTCAACGGCTGTAAATAGTAAGGAACTTTAATCATTTTTCTTCTGCCTTTGTTTCCCACATCATTCTCGCCGGGTGGCAGAATGTTTAGTAGTGGGAACTCAGTTGTAAGGAAGAATTTTAATAAGGATTTTGAAGGATAAGAAGGGATATGATTGGCTATATAAATGAATGTGTCAACTGATACTGATGTATTGCATTCCTTCAAGCATTTTCAGGTCAGTATCCCATTTGATACTTAGGACAACTGACAAAAAGTCTCTCCTTGACCACACTCCAGATATGTTTCTCTGAACCCTCTTCTTGACTAGGCCTGTCAACGTTGGCCTAGAAAGACCTGAACAAATGCTACCATAGTTTCTAACAGCTCAATACCACATCTCTAGGATGACCTTAGGCCCCCTTAAAGTGCTGCCCCAGAAAACTCAAGGTTGTGAAAAAATTTTACTTTCTGTTCCAGCCAACATCTGAAGATGGGGCCCCTGTCTCCCAGACTCTGTGGGCGAGGAATACTCTAATTTCTCCAAGTCAGTTAGCAAACCCAGATGCATTTCACAAGGACCACCTCCCCTTCCAGCTTTTTGTAATTTATCACTGCCCTGATTCTACTGAGACCCCCTCACTCTCCTGCCTCTTCCCTTATTATCCCTTTGAAAAGCCTAGTCACCTCTGTATAAAGTTGAGCTAAATTTGCACTGGATGCTTTCCCTATTGTAATAATACATTACTGATCAAAATCTATCCTTACCACTTTAACTATTGCCCAGTGTTACCCTAAGAAGCACATTTCTGCCACGCTAGCCTACTCAATAAAATGGCTGGTTGGTTTGTGTCCTGAGAGAGACCAGGTTGTTTTCTCAGCTAGGTCTGAGTCTAAGTCAAAATAGTTGTGCTCCTAAGCATTTTCAGGAGAGCAAAGTTGTGTGCCTGCGGCCACCTGCACTGAAAGTACCACTTGGTTCCTGACACCTCTAAGCAGAGGGTTCTCCACCTCCACCTTTTGGAAACTGGGGACTACTGGGAGTAGTGGAGAACAGAAAGAAAAGCTCTGCTGATCCTCAGAGGGGTGACTGAGGATATGACAACCTCTTTCTCATCTCAGGGCCTCCACCTGCTACACTCTTCCTCTACTCTGCATGACTGGCTCCTTTTTATCTTTTAGGTCACAGCTTAAAAGTCACTTCCTACCTAACATAACACCCTTGGCATTTTAGAATGGATGGATCAGTTTGACAACACCTGCTGATTCATCTGAACATCACAGAAAGACAACCAGACATTACATGTCTCCTGAAGTAATGTGACAGCAAGTATACAAAGCCACTGGGAAGTATTTTTTGTCAAAAAAAATTTGAACCTGAAAGTGATCAAGCTACCAGATCTAAATACTAGCTCATGGAAGTTAAAAAATCAGAAGGTAGAGGTATATGTTAAATGAACACTGAGGTTACAATTAGCAAAATCCAGACTGGAGAGTTCTACCAGCTAATGACCTTGTTTCCTCAACAAATAATGGTAACAAAGACGTTTTTATTGCACAATGTTATTGATCTAATTTGGATCCAATTTGCATGAATAATCAGAAAAACTCATCAATGATAACTAGATACTTTCAATATTAACTGGATATTTGATGATATTTAGCAAATTACTTTGAGTGAAATAATATGGGGGTTATGTTTTATTAAAAGTATTTATATTTTGAAGATATATCTGAAGTATAAGTATGAGTGAAACCATATGAAATCTGTGGCAGGAGATTGGATGGGAGAGAGTAGGGATGTGTCATTGAGTCTAAATTTCATACTCTGTACCCAGCACAGAGCCAGGCACTTAGATATCATTTAATTTTTTTTTAGAAGATCTTATTTATTGGAGAGAGAAAGAACATGATGGGGCGGGGGGGGAGGACAGAAGGAGAAGCAGACTCCCTGCTGAGCAGGGACCCTGGGATCATGACCTGAGCCGAAGGCAGACGCTTAACTAAGTGAGCCACCCAGATGCCCTCATTTATTTTTTTAAATGAATATATAAATGACTGAGACCTGCATCCTGAATCCAGGTTTCATCTCAGTAAATAGCTGCATGACCTCAGGCAAGCAGGTTTTCTCTCAGATTCCTTCTCTGTCAATTAAATGTTTACACTATGATCTTGAGGATTCTTTTTCTAGTGCCCACTTTCTGATTCTAAATGTAATATCTACTGTAGGTGTGAGTGATTGCAGGAGCTCTTTAGCACTGGGGAGTCTGAAGAACAAGAACAACCATATCATCTCATGGCAGTGATATTTATTTACTGATGCCCCAATATGTTTTTGATCAGACACCTGAGCAGCCTCACTCCTGGGATAATGTGCAAACATTGCAGAGGCTTCAAACACTGAATCACCTCTATAAAGCTGCACAGTGCTCCATGTCACCTCTCCTGCTGGTTTGGAGATGCCTCATTATTTTTGTAGAAATATGCATGCCCTCTTACGTTTTCCAGTTATTTCTAGTTCTTATCTCTTGAATTCACAGCCTTCAGGACTTGGCTAAAGGAGGAATAAAAAAATACATTATTCATAATCTAGAAAATGTATAGAAGGAGAAGCCAGGCTTGTTAATATTCTGTTCAGGCACCACTGTTCTAGAAGCCTTTCTTGATTTCTTTCTTTCCTCTTCCTTCTTTCCTGCTCCACACTGGATTGGGTGTCTTTTCTTATCTTTCTATACATGTATACTTCTCTATTATTTCATGTCCCACATTGTTGTCTGAGTTTCCATTTCTGTGCCTGTCTCTCTAACTAGGTTAAGTGCCTTGCTGGCAGGGACAATGTTCTTAATTTTGTTTGTTTCTAGCACAGTGTGTACACATCTATAAGGACTCAGTTTGTTGTATGAATAAATGGATGAATTTAATCAAACCATGAGTTTGAAGAAACAGTGAAGAAACAATATCATCAAGGTCTATCCTTTATATCATAAAACGTTTATCCAAATATAATGTACGAGTACAATAATCAAACCTTTTATTTATCTGAATGACTTATTATTTCTTAACTGGTTTGAGTTGAAATGCCTCTAAATTTAATTGCCTACATACTCAGACAGACTGGTTAGAACAATTACAGCTGTGGGACTCCTCTGGCTTCTCTCTTCAAAGAATGCAAATCAAGGGGTGCCTGGGTGGCTCAGTTGGTTGGGCGACTGCCTTCGGCTCAGGTCATGATCCTGGAGTCCCTGGATCGAGTCCCGCATTGGGCTCCCTGCTCGGCAGGGAGCCTGCTTCTGCCTCTGACCCTCCCCCCTCTCATGTGCTCTCTCTCTCTCATTCTGTCTCAAATAAAAAAAAGAATGCGAATCACTAGAGGTTGTTGCTATCTACCCATTCATAACTATGATCTTCTAGCATGCCTCAGTAACCGTTTATGGAAGTGTTCAATTTTACTCCAAATAATTTATTACTTTTTAAGCTCACTGTCTTCTCTTCCACTTTTCCCTTTTATTTTTTTAATTAAAAAATATTTTAAGTTTTTATATCAATTCCAGTTAGGTAATGCACAGTGTTATATTAGTTTCAGATGTATAATATAGTGATTCAACACTTACAGCCAACACCCAGTGCTCATCACAAGTGCACTTCTTAATCCCCATCCCCTATCTCACCCATCCCCTCACCCACCTCCCCTCTGATAACCATCACTTTGTTCTCTATAGTTAGAGTCTATTTATATATAGAGTCTATAT